CCAGGCACAGATGCAACAATGTTTCAGGGCCTCCCCGTCCGAGGAAGTGGGAGCGAAGGGGCATCGTTCTTATACATCCCATCCCTTTGGAAACAGTCTTTCTGGTGGCCCGGCTCCGAGTCGAGTAGCGCAGGCGACGACGGGTCCAGGCCCGCCTTCAGAGGACGCCATACGAAGGAGAAGGACCCTGCCGAGAGATTACACCTCCAGCCCACGGCTCTGGCGATGTGGCTCGGCAGCAGAGTCACGCCGGGCTGAGCGAACGCCCAAGTGGAGGGGGTGGCTGCTGGCTGTGGTACATGATTCGAGTTAGTCACCATGCAAGGCAAACGTACAAACCGCGGCCAACACTGGCTAGCTCCCGGCAGCAAAGGGGAAAAGGAAAGGGAAAGGAAGGGAAGCCATGGTGGGGGAGGGGTCCAGGCGGGCAACATGGCCGTGGATGGAGGAGGGTGATGCTATGAGACAAACGAACCAGCGTCCGGCCGGGCTTAGATACACGCCCCCCTCCTCCAAGGAAGCAAAAGACCAGCCAGGCCAGACAACAAACAGTCGTAACGCCCAGCCGGACAATGGTCAACCGAGCCATTGGCCAAACTGTCCCGCAGCGCATATTGGCGCATCACGCGCCTGTTTGCCGGAAAGGCCTGCCATGGTCTGCGTCTGGGCATGCGTGAGCTAGGCTGTGTAGAAAGTCTAACTGCTGTCTCGGAACAAACCTTCGCGATTTTTCGGGGCATCGGCCCACAACGTCCCAATAGGCTCCAGCCCGCTAACTACTTCGTCCGAGGAATGAATGGATTACGGTCACTGCCTGTCCTGTCCTGCACTGGCGGAGTGGCGCACCCACGAGGAGATCCGAGACTATGACTCGGTGGCTGTCTGTTAGTCGACACCTACTGCCCAAGTAGGATGCAGCTGGCTAGGTTTGTACAGTCTCAGCAGAGCCTTTTCGTGTCTGTGCCGCCATTTCTGGCCATCTCCCAATACGAAGCTCGGCCGTCTGATTTGCCCGAAAATAAGATTCCGTGATGCCAGGGAGTCGACCTACCCGAGGAGCATAGCGATAGCGACAGCCTCCCCACCTCGTGACTGCGCTCTGGCTGCCCGTCTCCCCACCCGCACAGTGACCCCTACCCGGCTTTGGATCTCCGGCTTTCTGGAAGAGAGGTGGAATTTCCACTCTTACCGCGACAGATCTGTGGAGGTGGCATTGCGCATGCCGAGCCTGCCGCCTGCCGTCATCATATCTGGCCCAGCTAATCACACAAATAGCTCCGGCCGGCGAATCGTGTGATGCTTCGCCCAAACATCTCGTCTTGGCGGCCACGTCCTCTCCCAGCGACGTTTTGGCCCTTCACCCAGTAAGGCCGTTTCGGTTTCAGACGTTGGACGCCACCTGCAACTTGTCTCATGCAGCATTCAACGTTCAAAGAAATTGAGTAAAGCTTAAATATCCTCACTAGTAGATCCCAACGAATCAAGCAGACCGTGATGTGAAGGTTTGCCATGTATTCTCCCGAAATGTCTGCAAGAAAAGTAAGTCCGAATGAGGTGGAATAGACCTTTCTTTGGGAGTACAGCAACCAAGCAGGAAATGGCGACGCCCCTCGACTCCAGATAAGAGTCGAAAAAGGAAAGTCGTGCCACTACCAGGTGCAGCCTTACCAGGTCGATGTGAGGTCGATATACCACAAAAGGTCAAATAATCCTTGTTTGTCTTCGGGCAAGTCAGGTCACAAGCGTGTCACACGCGTCCAGAAAGCCAGCAATAATGCATCATACGACTAGGGGTGATGGGCAGGTGGGGGGTGGACGTGACTGGTCGTCGTCCAGTCAGCACCCGAGTTGTCAACATCTCCGACCAACCGCTGACGTTTTGTGATCCGTCCTGGAACTGAATTGACGAGTAGGCCCCGGCGCAAAGTCTAATTAGCTACTACATCGTTGCAACCCTGCAAGATTCGGCAGCCTCAGTCACGCCTGCGTAAGTCCAGGGCTGCATCCGGGCCTACACAACAGGCCTCCAAAGCCACGGCTGAAAGGGCTGCCGCAACAACATGCCTGGAAAGTGGAAAGCGATGATCCGCGCCAGCTGTGACCCAGAACCAAGTTCCCGGAGACGAGCAGCATTCCAGAGAAATCATTGTCCCTAGCCCACACACGTGGTACGTATGTTTCCCTTGAAGTGGCGGCGTGTGAAAGGGGTATAGCCAAGGGACAAAGTAGACCCAGACTGACAGAAAGACAAAACCGAGCGATAAAGGTTAATAAAAAAGGTGTGTGAGTAATTCACCGAGCCTGGCTACTGTATTAGGGTTTTTCCCATCTCGAGTCTCGTCCCCACGCCCCATCAGCTCGAGGAACTCGGAAGCATGTAGGCGGCAGGTTCGCAAGAGTCGTGTCTTGCGATCCGCTTGCCTTGGCGAGACCTTGAAAAAAGTACCTCTTATTCGGCACTGGACGCGAGGTAATGACATGAAAAGAGCGGTCTAGGTTTGCTGTGTCGTGGCAGTCAATATACCGACGTGTCTAACGGTGGAACAGGACCCCTCTAGGCTAGAAATTTCCAAACAAGAGGGAATAAAAAAATAATAGCCTCGTTTAAGGTTTATGGGTGCAGGACTCCTGCGCAGCTCGATCTACCGTCCCCCTTGGCGGTGTATCAGGCCCCTTGCTGCAATCGGCCTGTATTTCCGCAACGTTGCTTTGGAGCGGAAGAAGGAGGAACAACCGAGGTGGAAGATAGATCGAGACGGGAGGTCGCCAGATGCAGGCTGTGCCAACGACCGCGCAGAGGGATGCGACCTGGCGATGGACGAGATGGACGAGATGCGTAGACGAGGGAGGGAGGGTGTGGGCGGAGCAGGAGCGAGGCTCGTCCCTCTAGCGATGGCCAGCGAGCCAAGGCAGTGGGGAGGAAGGTACATCTACAGGGCCTTCCGTGGGCACCACCCCCACGCGCCACGCACGACAACCGGAAGACCCCCGACGCAGTGACGGTGTTGGGCGTTGGCCAGCTCGACGTTGGACTGTGCCAGCGCCGATGTAACAAACTCTGTTGCTCGTGTAGGTAGGCAGGCCGGCCTATCACTTGAGTCCTGCCGAGTCACGTATCATCCGGTCCCAGCAGTCATGCCTACTATGTACGCCTTTCGCTGCCTTGCCTGTTCTTGGAGCTCAATGTCAAAATAGCTGCGCTAGCCGTCTCGTAGCAGCTACATGTCACCTCGGGGGGAAGCCGCCTGTGCATCATCAAGGAAACCGCACCGGCATGCCGCATAGCACTACGGATTTACCGGCCATTCGCTGACAGCGGCAGGCCTGGTTGGTCCAGCAGCCCAAGACAACCAGACGGGCCCGGACCGAGGAGTTGGGTCCCGCTCCCATGCATAACCTACGACTAATGTACGTGCGAATAGTCTGGGTGTGCTAAAAACAAATAAACCCTTTAGCAGCCTTGACAGGTGCCTGCTAACGCCTGCGCTGGGCCGTACCCCAGGGAGCGATGGGAAGACGAGCTTGAGAACTGGATATCCATTAACACACCATCCGAGGCAGCGCTGAGCTGGGCAAGGCCTGGGCTGAGAGCCCGACCCCATTGTAACCGCCCATAGAGTTTGCAGGGAACACCCAAGGATTTGGTAACACCCACATGGTTGGATCGGCTCCCTCCACAGAGAAGAGGAGGGGGAAGCCACCTCATTTCCCAAACTGGGGCTTCACTGCCTCATGGAACTCTATTTGGCTTCTGGACAGTAATCAACTTGTCCATTCCTCCAGTCTCCCAATGGCGCGGTTAGGCAACATGTAGAAACCTTTGTCGCCGCGTCGAATCCTCATCCGCATCATCCGCAGCATAAACAATTGTTTCTCCCGGAAATGATCCTATCATTGCCATTCCTCGGTATTTTTTCAAAGATGATATGTCAACCCAATTGCGGCTCTCCTCCCTGCTGGTAGGTGACACATCATGCTGCTCAACACATTTGGCAGCCTATTGTAGGTCCTTCCGCACCAGGCGGCCATCCAAGGTTTGTCACGGACTTTTGGATATTTCGATCTTCCGTTTCTTTCCTTTCCCCCGTCGTTGATCAGCGTCCACTCTTCCCCCAGACATTCTTGGGAAAACGGCCCGCTCTCGGTTATCCAACGTTTCCTTTACCCGAAGGCATCGGCGATGTTCTCGGTGCATCAGCCAGAGAGCAAATGCCAGAGTCTCTGAAGTAGGGTGGCATGAAGTGATGCTGGCGAATCTGATCAGCCTCCATGGGACTGGGAGCCTTCAATCCACAAGGCCCGTCAGATGACGACAGCTGTGTCCTCCCCGTATGCTTCTAATTGCCGGAACAGGCTGATTGGTTTCTGCCAATCAGTATTGCAATTGAGCCGGGTCAGCCCAGGATGACGAGTGGTCGTTTGTTTCGTATATGTGCCGACCTCCAAGGTAGGGTGGCAAATTCTCAATCTATTACTTGGCATCATCAACAGCTGTCACGCGTTGGAGGGACATTGATGATAGCTTATGGTAGGAGAGCACCTGGAAGATAACCGGTGCGGCATGACTCGTTGCATCACTTAGCTCTTCGTTGCACACAAAACACTCCGGCTTACGGCCAGAGTCCCTTTCAAAATACTCCAGAGCGTGCGAAGCGCGAGAAAGCCTCACTCATCTTCCTGAGAAACTGGCATAGGTGTCGGACGACGAATCCGCTTCCAGCGAGTGTTACTACGTTGACGTAACATCCATCGGAGCTGGTTACTTAGTAAACAAGGGGGAATATATGATATCATGACGTGCTTCGACGCTGTTTTTCTTTTCTTTTTCTATGTGATTACAATTCTAAATCTAAGTCGTGTGGGATTATACAAGTTGATTTACATTAGTACAGAACGAATTATGACTTGCCTTCGAGGTGGAAACCCCTCCTTCTTTTTTCTCCAGAGCTGAGTTGTGTTGAGTGAGTCAGGATACTCGTGGATTCCAATGCAAACGTTGGTTATCGCCTAGCCTTCACAAGCTTCTTGCCGATATTCCAACCCCAGGCTCGAAGCTGTTTGACGATACGGGGTGTGACCGCAACGGTCAACGGTATCCGTACAAAGATGAAGCTCTTGTGGATCGCGTATGCAAGCGCAAGCTGTGTTGCCAAACCTGTATATATGTCTCTAGAGTCAGTAACTTCTCTGCATCATTGCTTGCTCGCAGTGTTGACAAGGCGGACTGGGGGTAGACTGACTGGCGTTGTGGCTGGCCCGCTCTTGAGCTTCCTCGACACCCCATCCCTCTACCGAGGCCTCCGAGCCTGCATCTTTCTTGCCCTTGAAGATGCCCATGATGGCGGACCAGGCGCTGGAGAAACTTTGCTGGACGGATTCAGGAATAAATGTAGTTATCGCGGACACCACCTTGTGCTCCACGTAGGCTATTGCGCTCAATATTAGTTATTCGTCTTTCCTTCCCAGGAGCGATCCAAGGCTCGGGAAAAATTACCAATCTTTTCTGTTCCCACAGCTTGAACAAGCAGAAAGAAGAAGGGCATATCCAGGATGCTCAGTAAAAAGTAGACCCCAACCGCCGCTCTGCCATATTCCCTCGTGAGCTTCTTGAAGCGGTCAGACAAGGACAGGCTCTCCTTGACCTCGGCCGCGCTCCCCGCACTCCTCCGCCACGAAGTAAGTCGAAATCCGCGCCGTGGTGCTTGCCGCAATGCGACGTTGGGTGTGAAGAGAGTTTGCCTCCCAGGCAGGATATGTACTCGGTTCGCTGCGCCTCTGGATACCCTCGCAGCGATATGTGACGAAATTTGCGACGACTGTGAGCTCGACCACCTCTTCCAAGTAGGCTCCCAGGCCGTTGGCGGCTGCCTCGGCGATCGCAACGCCCGAGGCAGAGCTTCTATCCAGGCTCGCGACATGACGAAGGCGAGTCGATTGCAATTGAATGAGTTGTCGCGTCGATGTCTGAATTTCCTATTTTGTAGGGAAGAACGGGTTCAATTGAATAAGAATATGAATATAAGAAGAAAAGAAGAAATCGTGGAGAAAATTGGTTATCAGATCATTTCTCCCCCGTCTCTAAATTAAAGCCGTTGGGATCTCGCCACGGAGTTTGCGGGACTATGAAATTTGTTGCTGGCAGCTTCCACCGTTAGTGCCTCAATTTTTAGGCTCTCTATGATCTTGGACCAAAGTAGGGAAACGCGCCCGGTTGCTTTCCCAAACTTGTGACATTCCAATATCAACACTTGGATCCTATGGGGCAGTGGTCAAGATTTGCCATCTCGCCATGATTGAAGCTACAATGCACCGATAAATTGTTCATCAAACCCCGGGAGAGCGTCGGAGAAAGCGACATGGATGCATCGGAGCTTGCACAGGATGACTGTAATGTAACTCTCCATCAACACAATCCGGCATGGTGGGGCCACTGGCGCAGCTGGTTCTTAGGGCCCAGCCTGGCATGCTGCAGATACGGCAAACCCGTCACCTGCATACCAACCGCGCTCGACTAACAGTAAACCTTTTGGTATATCAAGGTATTCCACAAGTCAGTATCGGGGTTTCCCGAGCTTGAGGATGCGTGTTCGGTCATCCCGTTTATATAGTTTTGCCCCTGAAAAGAGGAGGATGCCGAGGGTTGTTCAACACCCCTCTTAGTCCTAGAAGTTGATAGCGCGTTGACATCAACTCCGAACGGCAACCTAGATCCACAGCCTCCGGCAACTGATGTATCATCTATAGACTTGTAGAAGGGTGTCAGTCAGCTCATTCGTAGATGTAAAGGGTGAGTTGGAAACGTATGCTAAGTGGTTTCCCCTACCTTCATGGGGCCAGATACAAGCGAAAGAGGGAAAATGAGAGATCTTGACGTATATCCCAGAGCCCCCTCTATGAGTTTTCCTGACTATATGTCGGGAGAAACATCTGGTATAAGCTCAAAATTATCCATGTGCGCTATGGTGTCATGGCAACTCTCAACCTATGGGTAGCAGGTCTGCACCGATAGAAATCTGCCTGGGTACGTTGGTAGGTAGATATCTTGACTTTCCCCTGGGGCGAATCTTTCTTCAGTTTGAAAAAGGCCCATTTAGGCAGGATCCATGGGCAAAACATCCGAGTATGTTTCGTTCTCAACAGGAAATTACTAGTTGTGAGATGTGGACGCTCCTACCTTCAGTTAATACTCAGGTACTCTCTTCACATCGGTTTGGTGCAGAAGTGACTTCCTAGGTAGGTGCGAGTAGGCAGCTGCCTAGGTACCTACCTTAGGTACTAACTTCGAGCACCTGCCTTCTGCCTCGATCGTTCTTTCCTGACAACGGCATTGGTTTTTCTCTCTCGGAACTCGTGCAGCTTACAGTCCTCACAAAGATTGAGGTACATCCAGTTTCTCGGCCCCCGATATCGCTCCCTGAGCGATGCACAGGCTCTTCTGCCTAGTGCCGTCCGATTTTCTCATACAATGGCCATGTGGAAAGCAGTTCACACTCGATTCACCTTGCAAGAGCTCGCCGTTTGGTGACTTTCATCGATTCACAACGGCACACCGAACTACAGCGACTTTTAGGTCACCTTCCCGTGCTGGTTCACTCTCCTCAACATAAAAACTCCAAACCACAAGCCGTCGAAACTACAGATCTCGAGTTTCACGATTAGCCCCGGGGGCACGATTCGAAATAAGAGCAAAAACAGCAACGCCAACCAAGCGCAACTCGAGAACCAAGGCATGTCGCTTCAGCTCGAGAAAATAGCCTCGATTATTCATTTCCGTGCTTAAGTCTCATTTCTCTCCACTCCTACTATCATTAGTTGGCAAATCAAAATGGAGACCGACGTCCATAGACCTGAGGAGATCAACGAAAAAATAAGTGCGATGCTGGCCGCTACGGAGGCTCTGAAGCCTGGAGCAAGTCAGCTAACAAGCCCAATGGGCTCGAAAACGCCACGAGCACTCACTTCCAAAGTATTGTTGAAGGTTTCGAGTGCTTGGGATCGCCTGAATACGAAGCCTACAGGCTTCGAGAGTGGGCACATTGGTAGGAAGACCCCAATTGACCACTTCACAACCAGGATTTGCTAATTAAGTAGACTCGGATGCCGCATCATCGATTCCAATTACATCCCGAGACACGCGATTCACTATTAAATCAATAGATATTCGTAAAAATGAGGGCATCAACATCGGAAAGAACGAAAAGGCCAGAAAGCTCGCTGGTATTGAGGTCAGCCGGCGCCCAGTTGCCGGTAGCAAAAGATCCCTTTTGAATAGGCCACGGCTAGACAGCGAGATATGCTCTACGCCTTCTACCGTTGAAAGCGAATCCCTCAATACTTCTGGTGACAGAAACCGGAAGTTGATCATAAGGTCTTCCGGTCCCTTTGGTGCTGAACCTAGGTTTGATTTAGATCTCGAGGATAGGGTCTTGAGTATCAGACCTGATGCGTCTTCAACTCCTCGAATTGTGATTGAGCATAGACGAACCACTTTATCCGTCGACAGCAGAATACACTCAAGCGATTTTGGGATCTTTTTAAGCAAACACCGACATATTGCCACTGATCGTGCTATCAACTGCGGGGAAGGTGCCAAAAGCTCAACATTAGCTGTGGACAACAAATCTCAAGACGAGTATTTGAGTACGTCTCAAGCCTTTCCAATCGGCTACTACCTCAAGCCTCCAGCTGAGTGTAGGCGAGTAAAGAAGCACCCGTCCCCGAACAAGGAGTATCTTGAGCGTCTTAAGACGGCGCTTGAACAATACACAACCCTAAAAACATATGGTGCCGTCGACCGGGATCTTGATGAGTTGGCCGATATGGTCTCTTTTCCAACACGCCCGTTTACCTCGCGAGAAAAGAATCAATTGCCCCGTAGGTGCTTGACCTTACCAGTCGAACGGAAATCCGATTCAAAGGGGAGCATGAAAACACCCCCCTGTCACTTGCAAAGAGGTCCATATAGATCTGGGACTACACGATCTAGCGGAGTTTCAGAACATCATCGCATCGCTACGAGATCTGTTCGTACTTTTCGACCTCAAAATGATAGCGCTGATGACCCAGACGAGCTACGATAGTGGGTCGAGTTTCGAAAACATTATCACGTATTACGGGACCCTTGAGTGGACAAAATGTATATCTGCCCCTTCATAGATCTTACTTCTCGGCCTCAACCTTCGGCATCAGTGCGATATATTGTTTGTACAAACGCACACAAGAGGAATCAGTACTCTTTACTACTAGGTGTTGTATATTCGCTTTGTCATAGGCAAAGGTGGATTTCTAGTAGCAGACTTCATTGCGTTTTGCAACATAAAACGTTCCGAAACATAGAGCTCATATTCAAATTCTAGCATGTATATTTCCCTCATTACTCATAATACAGCCGCTCCGTTCAAGATTCATTCATTCAAACAATAGTGCTTTGCAAGATTCTTCCGCTCCATGTCGAAATTAGAACATTCTGCGGCGGGGACGGTGCGAGCCACGTCCGTCCGTGCCATGCATTCTCCGAGTGCCAGCAGCCTGAGATATCAGTTAGTAGTGAGATTTTGGGGAGCTGGAACAGATCAACGTACCTTAACAGCTGGGCGATGGGTGAGAGAGCCCTTCATTCTCAGCAAGGCGCCACTCACCTTATCCTTGAAGGATGGGCGGCGCTTCTGGTGGTGGTGAACGGCAAGTGGTGCTGCATGCGTAGTGTGGGTTGTGTGATGTGTATGATGAACTTTACGTCGTGGGAAGATGCTGCGACGGCGAGTTGTGGTGGTGGTTGTTCGTGGGGTGGCACGAGCACGACGACGGTATGTGAAAGGCATGTTGTTGGTCTTCTTGGTGGTATGTTTCTTCAAAGATGTTTGGTTGTCAAGGTTGACAGTGAATTGTTGAGTAGTTATTGTGGTATTCAAATCAAGTTGTTTGAGATGTTGTTTAAGATGATTTTCATTTGTAGAGAGCGAGAATTCAAGATCATTATATACTTGATAGATGGAAGTTGTTCAACCATTGCAGCTTGTATCAAAGGAAGGATGTTCGTCACCAATGATGCCATCACGGCCAAGGGTTCATGTTGGCAATGTACGGGGTCTAGCTAGATTGTGCAGATCAAGATGCTATGATGCCACCAGTCGTTGATCGTTCGCGCAGTTGTTACAAAGAAGATCCCCAAGAACTTGGAAGTGGGTTGTTGAACAAGGGTCTGGGCGACGTCATTGCCCGGATGGTGATTGGCTGGCACCCACAATCCATGTCATCTCTATCGGCGATTTTTTTTTGTCACTTCGATTCTGCCCCTTTGCATCAAGCGCAGGGTCCTGGAACAATGCAGGGCCTTGCCGCACTCAATGACACTGATTGTCGTCATATGGTGGTTCTTCCCGCTCACAGGGCTGAGCGATCCTCAAACTCCTCAGGAGGAAGTTGCTTCCAAGGCGATCATCTGGACGGACCACAGCTTACGTGGGGAATCCAAGCTTCCTCAGGATGTCATGGTTCCTTTGGGAGCTGAACACTGGCAGGATGTGAAAACAGGCCTTTGGAGAGAGCTCTGGCTGTCAGCTGCTTCGCACCCACAAGGCAGCAGCAGCAAAATGTTGGAACCATGACATACACAATTTCGACCGTCGGCCACTGCGTTACTTTACTGTTTTAATTCCTTTCATTTATTTCCTAAGATGGGATCCCGGGGGTAATGCTTGTTTGTCCATTAAATGTTACGCGAGGTAAGGTAGCTTTGTCTTGCAGCTGCGAAGGTTCAGGCACGAAACCTTCTATTAAGCTTTCGGGATGAACCTTGAGCTTTCTTTTATAACTGTGTCGAGGTGACTATGTCGCATGTGGCCCCAAAGTGCTTTCTTACAACTGTCGTGGTCAAGCCAGCTTTACGTCGTATCGGCCATTCGCGTCCTAGTAGCGATGAACGGTTGTTGTATGATTCTCGGATCGCGAGCTTCACCACTTGGCTTGAAAAAGGCACCGAAAACCTACGAGGCGCGTGCGAGAAACAGCGCATCGAGCGGTTTCTCGTGATGATGTGTATTTAAGCCTGAAACGCAGTCTCACTATTCTGGGTCCATTTTGACAGACCAGTTTTCATCTGGGTGTAATGAAACCAAGCAGAGGACCTGCCAGCGACTCCCCTTGAATTTGAAAAGACTTGAGTTTTCGGTTCTGAGTGGAGTAAGATTTCAACCTGGAGAGCTGTCGCCCGGGATCAATTTTATGTCGCCCTGTTGTTCCCTTTGCTTACAATGCCTGCCTTGACCGCATCCATCAACATCGGCACCGTGGCTCAAACTAAAGAGAAAAAGGCCAGCCCAATCAACTAAACTAGAATATGCCGAGCCGAAGTCAATCATCGTTGAGCATGGGGACAGCTCGTATATCTGTGGCATCAATGTCAGAGGTTGCTGTGATTCTCTGCCTGTCAAGATAAGGGGCTCTATCATAACTGGGGCTCTGGTGTTCCAGCAGCTTCACCGACTGCTGATCCCATGCATGCAGGCCGTAAACACCTTTCCCCCAATCTCCAATTGACGGTCAGCGATATCGGCCTTATCGCTTGACGACGCAGAACACGGGTGGTAGGGAAAATATAACAACCAAAAAGCCACGAATGAAAACTGGTGAAGAGGGGGGGAAAAGGTCAAGCCGTAGAGAGGCCAGAAATCAATCGGCAAAAGTGGCCCGCACTGTCACTAGAATCAATCATAGAACGCAACAGCGACGCTCCGTGCTTACGGGGACGACTCACGTCACACTCGGTCGCCCACATAATGGCTGGCTCACTGCTGCGGTGGACTCTCTGGCCACTGATTGCCGTCATAGTGGCCGCGTTCGCCGTCGCTTATCGACTCCAGCAGCCTCTCGTCGGCACGCAGTCCTGCAGTACCACGACACCATCGTCGGCCGGGGACACGTACTGCTACCAAGGCATCACAACCCTCGATGATGACAGGCCCGACGCCCGGTGCTTCTCCGTCACCGACGGCTCGTTCAGCCACGTCTTGACCGACGACCAAGCAGCCGACCTCGAGCCAGCCCACGTCCACGCCAGCCCTGGATATGTGATCCCCGGGCTCTGGGACGGCCACGGCCACTTGCTTGCATACGGCGAGTTTCTCCACTCCGTCGACCTTTTTGGGTCTGAGTCTCTTGAGGATGTCCGTATCAGGGTCAAGGAGTATCTCAATGCCAACCCAGATGCCGGTTCCAAGGATCACTGGCTCAGAGGTGTTGGATGGGATCAAACCGCCTTTGGCCGCATGCCAACAGCTGTATGTTTAACGATTTCCTCCCTCCCATCTCCCTTATTTCTCATAGAAACCCTCTACTGACCTTCTCATCCATCCAAGGCCGATGTCGAGCAAGATCCCCTCCTCAAGGGCAAGTACTTGATGCTCGACCGCATCGACGTCCACTGCGTTTGGGTGTCCCAGTCTGTGCTGGACCTCCTCCCATCAGATCTTCCTGAGATCCCCGGAGGGGAAATCGTCCGCGACCCGGGCATGGGCGTCTTCTGCGACAATGCCATGGACTACATCACGAAAGTCTGGCCGCAACCCACCGACGAGTTCAAGGCCAAGACCGTCAAGACTGCCATGGCCAAGCTCAACCAGGTCGGCCTCGTCGGTATGCACGATGCGGGGGCAACACCCTCCACGCATCGTCTTTACCAGAAACTAGCCAAGACCGAAGACTGGACAGTCCGTGTCTACGGCATGCTGGAATGCGACAAGCGCAACTCCTTCTGCCCGGACGAAGCGGTGCAGATCCACGACCCCGACTTCAAGTTCACCGTCCGCAGCGTCAAGCTATTCGGCGGTTAGTCCTCCCTCCCCGTCCAAAAACAACAATCCCCCTCCCCCCCCAAATTAGAGTTTACTGACCCCCGACACCTTATTAGACGGGGCCCTCGGAAGCTGGGGAAGCGCCATGCTCGACCCGTACACAGACCACCCCTGGACCTCGGGCTCCCTCCTCATCAACGCCTCCGCCCTCACCCAGGTCGCCAAGTCCTGGGCCGCCGCCGGCTACCAGGTCAACATCCACGCCATAGGGGACCTCGCCAACCGCAACGCCGTCGACGCCCTCGAGGCGGCCCTCGGGCAGGAATGCCCCGACGACGACGCCGACCACCACCTCGCCCCGTGCCAGTCCCTCCGCCGCTTCCGCATCGAGCACGCCCAGATCATCCACCCGGCCGACCAGGACCGCATCCTCGCCCTCGGCATCATCCCCTCCATCCAGCCCACCCACGCGACCTCCGACTTCAAGTACGCCCAGGACCGCCTCGGCGCCGACCGCCTCCGCTCCTCAGCCTACCGCATGAAGTCGCTCCTCCCCGCCCGCCCGTCCCTCGGCTCCGACTTCCCCGTCGAGCCCCCGAACCCGTTCGAGGGCATCTACGCCGCCGTGACCCGTAGGAACCCTCACACCGGCAAGGGCCCCAGCGCCGCCGACCCCGACCTTGGGTTCCTCCCCGACGAGATCCTGTCTCTGAGGGAGGCCCTCCTGGGGTTCACCCGCAGCCCGGCCTACGCCGCCTTCCTCGAGGCCAAGGCCGGCGTGATCCGCGAGGGTGCTTTTGCTGATTGGGTCGTTCTGGATGAGCCCCTGGATCGGCTATCCTTTGAAGACCTGCGCACTCTCAAGGTCAAAGAGACCTGGGTTGCGGGTAGGCGTGTATACTCCCGTGATGATACCAATCTACCCTGACTTCCTACTCCAGAATCGGCTCACAGGTAGGTCCTCTCACCTCCTCTTACATACAATTTCTTTCAGTGCCGATTTGAGGTGAAAAAGGCACGACATTTCAACTTTGTAAACATCATGGAGATTTGATGAAACTGATATTTATTTCGTCACATCATCGACCGTGCAGCTCGATGTGATTACATACATACTGACGCTTGCAAGGTCGTCACATTGCCGAGCTTCTTACCATAGAGTTGGTTGTGTAACTAGACAGCGTTCCTGCTAGATTCTCGAGCCAAGTGGCCATTCCAATATCAAAACTCCATACACCCATGCATCGACATTCCGTTTTCACCACGTTTATAACCCTCGATTATTGTCCTCCACTCGTAGGAACCAGTCCTTTACGCTTTGACGACACATTTGCTCTCAAACCACTTGGCAAACTTGACGGTGGGAATATCCACGGCCCGCCAGAAGATATCGGCCCACCAGATGACGGTTGGAATGCAGAAACAAGCACCCAGAATAAAACCCGCGTTGTACTGGTACCCTTCCAGTCCCGTGACACTGTACGCCCAATTTTCAAAGTGATACCCGACAATGTGCATTGCTGGACCATGCATCAGATAGATGGCGTACGAGATCTTGCCGAAATATTGCACGACGCCAGAATTAAAGAATCGCTGCCAAAACGCTGAATGTGCCACAGCATATATAAAGACAACTGCACCGATTCCCTGCCAGTATCTGAACGGCTCAGCACCCCACCAAGTAGGGATAAGCGAAGTCAGATAGATCCATCCAGGGGTTATTTCACCTCGACCATCTGGCTGGCCGAGAAGGTACAGGCCGAGAAGTGCGAGGGCATCCCAAAACCATGAAGTGCTACACTTGCGAGAGGTACTCTTGTCGTCCTCATCCTTGGGCAATACAGGGTCGTGGGCACCTCGGATCAGATCGTTCTCCGCGAGGAGCATGCCAGCCAAGAAAAGCAAGAAGTCCCATCTCGAGTTCCAGTATGTGAAGACGAAAATGCCGAAAACAGTGAGGAGTCGCATTCGAGCCTGCAGGCGGGCAGTGCCCACGATGACGAGGAAGAGGTATAGAGAGCACCGATACTCAATAGGAATTGTCCAAAGATGGACATCGTACGCTAAGCAGAACCAATTAGCATCATCAGGTGTAGACATGACTCAGGTGTAAAACATACCAACTCTACCACCACCGCCACCCCAGTCCCAGACGTGAACAAACTTGAACATCTGAGCTGCCCAATCACTCAACTGTTCGCGTGTAGTCTCCATTCTCCATGGATGCGGCTCCATGATGTTCTTGTGGAATTTACGATCCGTGGCGAATTGGCGAGTGTATTCAAAAAGTCCAATTCGAAGGAACATGACAACCATGAGAGTCGAGATCGCTGGGGGAAGATACAGGCGAATCAAACGTCGGAAGGTCAGCGAGCTGATGGTGTTGGAAAACTCGCCCCATTGTCCACTTCGGACAAGCTTGATGGGTCGGTAGCTCAAGGCGTAGCCGGAAATGACGAAGAAGACGCAGACAGCGGCTGGACCTTGGTACCATAGTCGCAAGAAAGGAAGCTTGAGGATGTGATAGTTGGTTTCTCCGCAGCCATAACCTTCTGCGATAGTGAAGGCCTGATAGAAATAGTGGCAGAAGAAAACGAAGAGCGCAGCCAAACCTCGCATACCATCCAGGTATGAGGTAGGAAAGAGTTTGGCGGGGCGTCCCGTGTCCCTGACTATTCGGCCCTGGAGGAAACTGGGAATAAGGAAGATAAGAAATCGAACGAAGAGCTGTCGCCAGTGCAATGTGCCGAGCTTGACGACTGGGGCTGCGAGAATCGGTAGCCACTGGCCCGTTTTGTCGTTGCTGGGGGGGGGTTGAATTCATAGCTGGACTCGCTCTCCAGCTCTGAAGGCGACTTCTCCGACCTATCGTCAAGGAGCCCCATCTTCTCCTGGCTTCCAGAAAGATCAAGGAGAGAAGGACGCTGCTGGCTCATGGCCAGACCTGGCAGAAGAAGGAAAAAAACTCGAGGCTATAATCGACAGACGGCCAGAGTGGGCAATTAAAAAGCAAGAAGAAAGAAAAGAACAAGCTTAAGTCATGTGCTTAAACGTAAGGTATGTGCTCTAGAATAGGTGGAGGTATGTACCTCGGTAGTAGCTGATCGCTCAGTACGAGTTGATGGTGAAACGAGTAGGAAATGATTTCATCTAAACGTAGGTACAGGTCGGCAAGCACGGCTAGAAAAGAAGACGGTGTGGTACAGGAGGAAGGAACAACCGAAGGAGTGACTGGCTGGATTATACAGAATCAAGACTGGCTTGAGAGAACGACGAAGGGCGAGGCGAGGCACATAGGCATGCACACAGGAAGCCCGAGACCAGAGATGGTGAAAGGTAATGTAGTGGTGTTGAGTTTGGCCGACGACGAGGAGGGACAGAGGGGACAGGCAGAAGTCACGGATTCGAGGGTGGGCAGTGGTTTTTAGGAATTGGAGCCACAAATAAGGCAGGACAAGGCAGGTAAGGCTTTTGAATTCACGTCCATCCCTACAGCAGCTGAACTGTTCAGCCCAGATCGCCAGGAACCCCCTTATTAGTTGCATGCGGACAGCAGCAGCGAGTGGTCAGGCCAGGCCGCCCCTGCTGAGGCTCCTTCACCTCACCTCTGCTCATGCTATGTGTAAAATATTAGCGGCAGACCCACCGCATTCCGGGGTAGGTGGCAACTATATGGCGCCTTCCTTCTCAGACAACGGAAAGATGTGGCGGCAGTTGCGGCAAGCCCATCCATCCATCGGCACGAAGCCATCCACGGCCCAGCGAAATCTGCAGCTTCCGCATTCTTCAAGACTGCCCGCGTCGCGCTGTCTTCAGCAACGGACAGACGGAACCAGCGTCACTAGCATTGGAGAGTCTCGAATAATGATCTTCACTAAAAATGCAAACAGCGGGTTATCCTTTTCTTGTTCCGGAGCATTCTGCCCTCCTCGATGCTCAATGACACAGCTTATCTGTAGATCACAACCACACAGTCCACTTTTTAGCCCCGTCAGTGGGGCTCTGGAAAAGACATGGATACGGGCTATGGGTCGTCAAGGTTTCGTTGGTTGTGAATTGTCTCCGTACGAAGTTGGTAAAACAGTGGTTGCCGCGCTGCATTCGGTCATGATGCGCACAGTGCTCCGACACAGAGACTGTATACATCATGTCCACACACGTACAGGGCTCGGGTGTCCGTTTGCCGCTGCTGGCGGCCTCTCCTGTTACTCCTGACTGGTTTTGCTTTTGGGCGCGTGCCCGCTTTGGTGCAATATTTCGCTGCACATCTCAGCTCAGGCCGCCAGCTGAGCGCCTTTGCGCATGAATGGAAATGAGAACGCAGACACTTTGTCAATAGTGTCAGCCCAGCGTGGACTATCACATAATACAGGCACTGAGCTGGCTGCCGTTGGTCGCCGCCGACCTGCAATACGGTGGTGGTGGTGGTTCAGCTCTGGCCTGTCCACATGCGGACATTGAGTGGCTTGAAACAAACCCGGCACCGACCTGAAGGACGCCGCAATCCGCGACAGAAATGCATCCAGCCTGTTGCATCATTTTCACCCATCCGCCTACCGCATCCCATTGCCTCACGCCGGGATGCCTGCCCAATACCATCCCGTCCGTCCCTTTTCGAGGTCCATCGGGTCACCAGCAACCAGCCAGAGATGGCAGGCCCGAAATCCTTTTATAACCACTGAGCATCCACTCTGCACGGTAGATCGGCCATCGGCCAGGGGCTAAGGGGGGCACTATGCTACATTGCCGCTGAGCTTGCCCCTGGCCTAATCCTACGCAGCAGCAAAATGCCCCCCGCATGGCCAAGCGCATCCAATCGATTCATCGCTGGCGGTCCGAGTTCTGAAAGCTTGGCTTGGAACTTAGGAAAGCTTGGCTGTCAGAATCAATCAATCTGGCGCCCACGCGCCGGCAGTGCGAAATCACGGCACGCATCTCTTGGCATCAGCAAGTCATGCTCCCTCTTTGCTCGCAACAACACTTCCTCAAACTACTGCCCATAAATGCAGCCATGCAGCCATGCAACGAACAGAGCGCTGACCGCACCTAGGGGTATTCCCTACCCAGGCCCAACAGTGGGTAACGAGAGAATTGGATGTATCAAGTCAATGGCCCCGGCCCACTTTTGAGCTGACGACGACGGCTTTCTCCTCGGCTGTCCAAGGAGGAAATGCCTTCCTTCAGTAGGTTGGTGGTCAAAAGTATGGAGGGATTTGTGGGCTCCCTCTAGTGCTGTATCAGAATTGCATCATATCCTAGCCTCGCTCTGACCCCGTCCCCCCTAGCAACCTTGAGTTGGGCGAGAACACCTCCATCAGAAACTGTTACAGGCTGCCAGGAGTGACGTCGGTTGTTTCACCATGTTCGCTCCAATCTGGACCGTTCTCGATGTTGAAATGCCAGCGCTTGTCCTCATTTCGGCAGCTTGCTAGCCCTGGGGTCGCGTACAGCTAGCTACAATGTAGGCCTAGGCCGAATTATTGATTTTTAGCCCGGTGGCGGTCCCGAGAGCATATCCTTATCCTAACTTTGTTCCTAATAAGATCATCAAGACGCACTGTCCAGCGACATGGTTGAGTGTACAAACTTGGCAAGGCCATGGGGAGTCAAAATTTCTCTTCCTTGTGGCTCACCAGCCTGGAAACTCCTTCTTCATCAAAGAGTTATCACTTCAGTTGCTTCCTTATCGCGTGCTCTGGAAGCAAGGAGAAGTGCCCCTAATCAAACAACATCCAATTGGCTGAGCATGGCAACAGTCATTTCACACATGGCGACAACAAGGGTAAAAAGGGGACTTCATCACTCGATCAAATTGGATGCCTTCACCAGAAAGTTGTGCATGCATATCGGAAACTGGTCGAAATAACCCAAATTCAGTTTTATTGTCGCGTGATCATTCGTTTTCATTACTAGTCTTGTTGTACAGCTTCCCAAACTCCGTGCCAAAAATGCCAATTTCCCATTCCCAATGCCCAATGCGCGTAAATCTCTACCAAATCAGTGTTCCAACCAGTCGAGGAACTCGGGGGTGAAGTAGCTGACAATGATGGTCGCGCCAGCTCGCAGAATGCCCTCCGTCGACTCAAATGCCATGGTCTTGAGGTCAAAAACACCAGCCTTGGCACCGGCATGAATCATGGCAAACTCGCCACTAACCTGGTAGGCCGCTACGGGCAAGTCTTTACCAATCTCCTTGGCATCACTGATGATGTCGAGGTACTGGCTGGCTGGCTTCACCATAATGATATCAGCACCCTCGCCGATGTCACGCTGCATTGCTCGGCGAGCGAGACCGCGTCCTCCAGGTGGAAGTTGGTAGCACTTGCGGTCACCGAATGATGGAGCCGAGCCAGCGGCATCACGGAACGGGCCGTAGAGGCAACCGGAGAATTTGGCCGAGTAGGACATCAGGACAGTCTTGTGAGCAATCCCTTCCTCAATCAGCTTGAGCTTGATGGCCCGGATACGGCCATCGTTCATATCGGAAGGTGCAACGCAGTGGGCACCAGCCTTGGCGTAGGCAATAGCAACGTCGGAAATGCGATCGACGGAGAGCTGATTGTTGAGGCTGCCATCATCACGAAGAATGCCACAGTGGCCGTGTGAGGTATATTCGCAGAGGCACACGTCGGTGCAGATGAACATTTGCGGGAAACGGCGACGGATCAGGCGAATGGCTCGGATGACGGGACCCTCGGGGTCATCAGCGGCACTTCCCAGGGCGTCCTTGCTTCCTGGCTTCATTGGCACTCCGAAGAGGATGACGGATCGGAGGCCCTTACGGACAAGAGGCTCAAGGAAAGCAACAAGCTTGTTGATACCCAGTTGGTGTTGTCCAGGAAGCGAGGGGATCAGAACCATATCGTCATCGCCGTCGGTGATGAAGAGGGGGTAGATAAGCATGGACTAGCAAGTAGAGTCGTTAGTATAGAAGACAGACACCCAATTGATAAGAGATTTTCTCACCTTGGTGAGCTGTCGCTCGGCTTGCCAAGCACGGGCTAGAGGATGGAAGTAGCCTCCATGAAGTTGACTGGAGATATCCCCAGAGATGCTCACACTGGTGGCAGCAGTGCTCGCGTATGACATGGCCCGCGAGATGTGGGATGTGCGGTCGTCCATGGTAGAGGCCTGAGAAGGCGGGGGGCCGGGTCGGCGGGGTGCGGGACCATTGGAGTCACGCAGACTCAGATCCTGAACGAGGCTGGAGAAAGACATTGCCGGCTGTTGATCTGAGGCAATACAGTGGTTGCAATCGGGAGTGGCGGTGCGCGAGGTCAAAGACGGAACCGAGGGACAGTTGGCTTTTCTCCTTATTTGGCGCTGGGCCCTCTTTCTGGAAGCAGAGAGTGAAGGGGGCGTCAACAAATGCCGCCCGCCAGTGATGTCGATGTTTACGCAGTCCGGGGACGTGGCACGGAGGGGATTTGATGCTTAGGTGAAGGAATTGAGTGAGAAAGACGGGAGAGAAAGATCTTTTCAGTGGATGTCGCAAATGTGCCCCAAAAAGTGCAGCCTCGGAATCCAGAACTCGCCTAAGGTCGGGAAGGTGGCCACCGTATTCACAGCCAATCAATTCCCCGCATTTTCCAATCCTGTGTCCTGCCACCGAGATTCCTCCGCCCTCTTCCGAGAGCGTGTGCGAGTAATGGACGCCATATTACATCTGATAGCTGATCGCACCGGTTAATTGCCACCGTCCCCCGCTCCTGGAGCCATTTGTTTGGCCCAACGGCCTAGCTTTTCTCTTTGTGTCCGGCATCGCCGCCGGCCAGCCTAGGCTAAGGAGGGGAACCTATCCCATTCACTGGCCGGGTAATTATGCCCAATTGGTACTCTGACCTGAACTGGAAGCGTCCAGAAGGAATTGTGGAGGCCGGTGCAGAAATGCGAACCTTTCCGCCGGCCGGGAGCCTTCAAGGCGAAATACTTCCTACCCAGGCAGGTGCCCCTCTGGCTCTTATCAAGTCATTGAAGATAGAGACTTGGGAACACTAGCACATGAATATTTCCCCAGACGACAGCGAAAAGCTGTTTGTGCAACTCTTCCAAATCGCCGGTACATCCAATGGTATACTTGCAGTTGAGAACAGGGCAGTCAATACAATCCTTTCCGGCCTCCAACCCACATAGCCCCGGAGCCCGTCGTCCGTAATAGTGAAATCCGTGGTCGGCTTTGCAGGATATGAAATGGTTAGTAAATCTACCGATATGAATTCCTGGCCCAATAAAACTAGAATTTAGGATTCACCTTGCAATCCTTTGCTACTTCAACATTTCTTCCCTTACTAAACAAGAACAGCGACTGCGATGGAGTACATAGTCAAAGGAAGGCCAATCCTCTCATTTGAATGTTGATACAAGTAAATGAAATTGGTGTGTAGTTTTCGTAAAGTACAGCGATCGAATCTAGTAGACGTAATGAGATACGATAGATAGCTTCCCCAGGCCGCTAACAACCTATAGACCGCGAAGGAGGGAGTTGTCTCGCTCGTCAAAGGGCGTATATCTCTCCCTCAGTACGTCCGCGACCGTCTTGTTCACCTTGGCCTCGGGTTGTGCATAGCGTTGCTCTAGGGCCTTCGCTACCGGGCTGGCCTCGGATTCGGCCTCAACACGTCCAAGGAGAGCGTTAGCCGTCTCCTTGCCAGCCTCAATCGCCGACGCCAAAACACCCTTTGCCTCGGAGGCTTTCTCCTTCACAGCACTCTCCACCTTTACAGCCTGGCGGGTAGCCCTCAGTCTAGCCTCGAGAATCTTGTCCTCGGCAGCCTGCTCAACGCTTCGTGCCTGCGCGGTCGCTTTGGTATATGCGTTCTGCGCTACTGCTGCGACGCCTTCGCGGGCTTCCACGGCCTTCGCATTGACCTTCTCGGCTCCTTCTGCGGGAGCCTCGCCGAGTGTGTTCGCCCATAGGTTGGAAATGCCGTCCTCAACGCCTTCCCGGATCTCGCTCCAGTCGGACCTCTGTACCCAGCGTACGGCGTTTTCTACTTCGTAGTTCCATCGATCCTTAGCCACCTCGATGGAGGACAACCTCTGAGCTGCGGCAACTTCGGATCGAGTAGGTGGTAGAGGTGCGGGGAGGGGATCGATGAGTCCGTGGATGGCGATAGCTTGTGCGCGGAGAGAGGCGCCCTGCTGCTCACGGTTGCGTTGGTGAGCGAGGACAGAAAGGTAGGCGACGGATAGAGTCAGGGCGACACCACCGGTCTATTTAACAATTAGCTCATGCAGCAAGACGAGACAACAGTGCGTGAGTCCCGTACAAATCCCGAGGCGAAGCCCATGATGGCAGTTCGCAACGGCAGGGAAGGATGAGGTAATTGTAGCCGGCAATGAAGGGCAATGACACGTTAAGTCGGGTGTGCGCAATGGTTCCGGAATCAGATTCGAATGAACATGTTTGTTCTTGCACCAATTGACCGCCAGCGATGCTCTACACGAGCTTGGTTGTGCCCGGGTATATGGAGGGGGATAATTTTTGATGAGGTCGTGGATTTGCTTGCTGAGTCGTCGGTCGGCAGGGAAAACGTGCCGATCCGCGCCAGGCCAAAAATTTCCAGCACTGTGGGCAAATCCTCCCGCTGCATATGGCACAACACATGCGACCATTCTCACGCCAATTCGTCGCTACAGCCACCACAACCCTCCTAAAACGATCTCCGGCTGTTTAGAGGGATAAATCGACATTCAAAATGGCTGGTGGTACCGTCAAATACCGCCACCTGAGCCGTGACTCGGCAGCACGCCAAGCCCTTCTTCGTGGTCTCGTCACACAGCTCGTCCAGCATGAGCACATCCAGACAACACATGCCAAGGCCAAGGAGGCTCAAAGACTTGCTGAGAAGCTCATTACACTGGCGAAGAGGAATAACGAGCCCTGCAAAAGGTCCGCCCAGGGAATTCTATACGTTGGTCTCACCGAGCCCGAACATCGAAATCGAACAATGTCCACTAACCCTTGACTTTCTTCAGACCCCCCATCTTCTCCTACCGAAGCTCTTCGGCGAGCTACGAGAGCGCTACTTGACGCGCGAGGGTGGCTATACCCGTGTTGTTCGTACAGAGCCTCGCTCCAGCTACGACCAGGCCGAGACCTCCATTCTCGAGTTCGTCGACGGTCCCAAGGATACCCGCTTCATGATGACGGCGAAGACAGTGGCCAGAGATCGTTTATTAGGCCGAGATAACACCCCTGTAACGAGAACGAACATCAAGAAGGTCACTCAATTCCGCGGCAACGATGCATTTGAAGATATGGTGCGCCGATTCATGGTGATGAGCACCCAGGACCCAGATTCTGCCCCTGCCTCCAAGCAAGAGTCAGAGTCTCTCAATGCCGAGTCGGACGAGATTGCAGAGAAGGAGAGCCACAAGAGTGCCACTATGGGCCCCATCATTGTGCCCAGGGCACACAAGAAGGCAGCAGCCAAGACCACACAGTCATAAAGCGAGAAGCTGAGCTGGGGATCAAGCATGTATTAATACTATGGGTGTGGGTAGTGCTGCACCAATGCTGTATGAAGTGTGTAAATATAAATGCAATCTATCGGGCCTAAACTGGTACCATTTTCCAATCAACTTAGCACCTTCATCGGAATACCGGAACAATGTTGGATAGGTGTTAATCCCTCCCGCTTACCGCGGCCGTGAACAATGATATATGTGGGCGGTATGATGCAAGACTACTAAATTCCCGTTCTGATTTAAACAAAATCAAACGTGTCTCCCCTCTCCTGAATCATCTTTCCTACTCTCTTTGAACCAGCAATCCTCTCTAGCTTCATCACGTCGTACTTGGAGAAAATGACACGGATGTTCCCTTGCCCTGGCTCAAGTCTCATATCTGCCTCGCTCTTGGCCAAGTAGCCGCCAGCAATCTCGTTGTAGAAAACCGGATTGTCGGGAAGACTGTAAAATATGACCCTTTGCACGCCGCGAAGTTGATATCGTCGGAAGTGGTGTGCTCGCTCTGTATATAGAAGCACTCGGTGACGACCATTCAAAAAGTGAGAGCGAGCTCGGGAGGCTTCAGGGACATCTGCGTACTCCGATATAGCGCCAAATGGTATGCTACTGACTTCTTGCGCGTTGGCAAAATAATTTCGCACACGCACGAAATCAAGGTAGGAAGAAATAAAGATGATGGTCCCCGTAGCGTCTTTACTCCGCTTCACCAACGATGGAATGATGGTCGATGTGAAATATTTGAATCTGGCATCAGGCTCCTTGTCTACCGAAGGTGATTGGAATCGGGAGAATGTCTGCTTGGCCTTTATTCCAAGCTGTTGAAGAACTCCGGGGTATTCGATTTGCAACCGGCTTTTGCCAGCCCAGTTCTGGCAGTGGAGGCGGAACAACTCTGCCAGCTCGGGAGTATTGAATGCAGAGAGCACGACAGTTTGACGGAAATGATTTGCCCAATCCTCCAGATACCAGCTCCTGACACGGCTGAAATCACAGTCATGAGCATCTTTAGGCTGAAGATTCAAGCTCTCAAAGATGGACTCAACGTGCTCCCAATTCTGCATCAGCAGCGCATCGCTCTGGTCCATCACAACCAGCTCAATAGAGCTGAGGAAGTCGTAATCAACCTTTTTCTTGTCTTCTTCCGAGCCAATCGCCATTCGGAGACCCAATGGACTAGCAAAGAGAATATCGGAACTATAGAATGGTGCGAAATATTTGATGGTTTTCCGCGTAAACTTGATGCCCAATCGGAACATGTCGTCGTCATTTCCCTCGAATAGTTCGGTGAAATCTGCCGGTTTGTCGTCGCCAAAAGTATTGGATTTGTCAATGTAAGAGTCATCAAACCGCTTACGGTTTTCTTGCTGATCAGCCTCGTAGAGATCTCTGATGATATTCACGACCTGGGCGCACGAGTTGCGTGTTGGGAGCAAGAATAACACTTTGGGGCGTGTAAATCCTTGATCTCGCAAATCTAGATCGGAATTATCACTCTCTTTTGCTAACTTGTAGTTGTTCTTTATTACTCGGTCTCGTGTCCTATTCTTGGTTAGTCGGGACAAGGATAATTGGACTCGTTGAGGGCACTTACTTGAGCACATGGTTCAGTGCATGAAGGCAGGCAAGCTGCCTCAATTTATGCGCATTCCGCACATTTCGATCACAAAGAAGAATATCTTGGTATCCAAAGAGGAAGGAGCCGAATGCCTTCGCATTGTCGTCCAAGTCCGAAAGATGTCTGCTTGCAGGCTCCCTCAATTTGCGCTTGAGTTTGAGGTCGCTCACTGACTGAGGTCGAGGGGTATCAATGGCCACATCGGAGCCGGGACTCATCAATGTCGCCCGCCAGGGTTTGACAACTGCCCGCTTCGTCGTCCATTCGCCTTCCTTGGCCGCTTTGACCCGTTTTGAGCTAACATCTGCATCAGGGTGTGCAAAATGGGTGTCAAAAGGGTCCGTTGAATCTTCCTCATCCTCAGAGTCCTCGTCTGGCTGTTCTTCGACACCACCCTCAACGTCCTCTGCTTCATCCGCCCTGTCAATGTCTTTGGTTTCATTATGCTCCTCTTCAGAATCCTCTTCGTTTTCAGAATCCGAAATTTCTGCCTTTGGAATATCAACTTTCGATGAATTATCCAATTTGCGTCTCTTTGCCTTGGGGCTATCACTGTCTCCAAAACCTTGAAGAAGAGCCATGTAAGGCCGAGTAGTGGGCGTTTCTTCAGCCTCGACATCAGAATCCGAGTCCTCCTGAGACTCAGCTTCTTCAACATCTGAATTTTCTTCAGATTCAGATTCAGATCCAGACTCCCTGTTCACCATTGTAAGCTCTTCTGCAATTATGTGTTGTTTTTCTGGGAGGCATACTCTTCCTGATCAGCTAGCCGAGCACCATCAAAGCGCCTTGTAGGTCCAAATCGGCTGGTTGCTCTACCACCACGCCCACGCCCACGAACTCCTCTCCCGCGCCCTCCACGCCCTCCACGCCCTCTAAAATTGCCTCCTCTTCCTCGTGGTCCCATTTCAGATTATGAAGAGCCGTATGGCCCTCTAATTTAAAATTAATGGGTTGAAAGTGAGATCTTCTTGCCTCTAACAATCATACCTAGTAAAAAAAAAAGTTGGGCGCTATCCAAGATTTCATCAGCCTTGCAGATGGCCCATATTTGCTGAGCCACAGATGGCGGGGCAGGTTGTAACAGCCACAAATCTCTCTTTCTTTCTTATCTTATCAACGCGCACACAACCCCCCAGCCCACTCACCCACACACAACGGGCGAAATTTTGTGAGTATCGGCTCGCGAGTAAACGAGACTGGACGCTGAGCCGCCTCCACTTCTGGGGACTTCAATTTTGGATCTTGCAACCTCACCACACCCCCGACTGTCCATATCTGCCCAACATGGCCGCCGCTACTGAGAGATTCATCCATCTCTCGCGCCCTCTGGCCGCTACCAGCGCTGGTCTACAAACCAACATTGCCCCGCTCACAGTCAACATCCAGCCACAGGTACCCCTCGCCCAAGCTTAGCAGATGATATCCCCTTATGTCTCATCTAACCAAATCTCCTCTGGCAGGCTGTTCTGTCCATTCTCGACCACGCCGTACGACGAGATGCCCGCGATCCTGCCCAGCCCAGCCGCGTCATCGGTGCCCTTGTGGGTGTCCGATCCGAAGACGGCACCGAGGTCGAAGTCCGCTCCTGCTTCGCCATCCCGCACACTGAGGAGGAGGACCAAGTCGAGGTCGATGTCGAATACCAGAAGAACATGCTGGCCTTGACCCTCAAGGCCAACCCCCGCGAGTCTCTTCTCGGCTGGTACACCACCTCCCTCGAGCTCAACAACTTCAGCGCCTTGATCCAGAACTTCTTCGGGAGCCCCGACACTGGGACCTTCCCCCACCCCGCCATCCACCTCACCATGTCGACGGACCCCGGCGAGGGCATCGAGACGAGGTGTTACATCAGCGCCCCGGTCGCCGTCAACGTCGACCGCACCGCCGAGTGCTGCCTCTTCATGCAGGTCCCCCACAAGATGCTCTACGGCGACGCCGAGAGGAGCGCCCTCGGAGCCATTGCCAGCGCAAAGGACTCCGAGAGCAGGACGGCGCCCCTCATCTCCGACGTCGAGAACCTCGGCCAGGCTCTCGAACAGACCATCACCCTGCTTGATAGAGTCAGCGAGTGGGTCAACGGCGTGCTGGACGAGGACGAGGAGCCCAACAACGCCCTGGGCCAGTACCTCATGAGCGCCCTCTCGCTCACCCCCAAGGTCGATGCCTCTCAGATCGAGCACGACTTCAACAACCATATCCAAGACGTCCTCATGGTCAGCTACCTGGCCAACACCATCCGCACTCAGATTGATTTGTCTCAACGCTTAGCTACGGCTAACATTGTGAGCGTTGAGAAGGAGGGCGAGAACAAGGGTGAAGGAGAGAAGAGCGGAGGGCAGCGCGGCGGCAAACGCGGCGGCCGTGGTGGTGGCCGCGGTGGTGGTCAACGAGGGGAACCCCGGGAGCCTCGAGAGCCTCGGGAACCCACGGAGTAAGGGTATTTCAGGTAGGTTTGGCGGGGATGGTAACGTTTACGTGAGGTTCAATGAAGGCTACGATCCATGTTACCTATAAAAATTATTCGGGCGTTGTGGTTAGCCGGTTTATCGGCTTGGGACATATAGATGTGAACAAATGAAAATTCATTTATCACTGAGATGTATTTTACTTGGCCATGACGAACAATATTGCTAATCTTATCTATTGAGCGCCATAGCCTACAGGAAATATGCATATCATTAAAGCCGCCCTATCCACCAAAACGCCAATGTCTGACTGATACAAAGCCAGCCGATAATTCCTAGATGCCAGTGGCAGGCTTCTGTGGCAAAGTCGCCGGATTGCCGTAGGTGGGCAAGTGGCCAAACATTTGATGCGGCGGTCCGTTCGGGCGACTTGGCATAGCAGTCGTCATGTTGCCTGGTGGGTGTTGAATAGGGCCATGGTGCGGATTCTGAGGGGGGGGAGGAGGGTGTTGGACATAAGGGGCCGCTATGGGTTGGTGACTGGCATAGCCCGGGACGGAGTGGTTAGATGCTTGTCGGATCATACCATAACCACCACCATATGGCTGTGGGGTGCCGCCTTGCTGGTATTGAGGGAAAGCGAGATGTGGTGATCCGATTTGGGGACTTCCGGTATGTGAAGTTGGGGCAGTGAAAGGGGGTTGAGGAGGTGGAACCGGCTGGATAGTGTTGCCGCCTGGGATAAAAGATTGAGTTTTGGGATTGAAGGAGTGGTTCCTGTTATAACTGCCGGGGATGGGATGTTGAGTCTTAGGGTCATGTGGGTTAAGGTTCGCTGGTAGCTGTCCAAAAGCATAGGGAATTCCCATGTGTGATTGAGCAGTCGGAGGCACACTTCCACGGCCTTGGGGTCCATTGGGGTTGTAACCCGGTTGCCATGTTTGAGGCGGCGCACTTGCAGTAGCTGGAGCTGCCGGAGCAGGCGATCCATAAGAGTTCATAGGGCTGCCATGAGGTGGTGGGTATCGTTGCTGTTGCACTTGTGGTGGTGGCGGGTACTGGGCCTATTCGTCAACACTTGTCATGATCAGACGGATTGTGTGAGAGAACTTACTTGTTGCATTTGGTAATTAGGATACCCTGGGCTTAACACCATCCCAGACACAGCAGGATACCCTGTGTTTTGTTGAGTGTACACCGGTGGAATTTGTCCTGGAAATGACTGTGATGGGGGCCCTGGGTTGCCTTGAGGCGGGGCAGTTTGTTGTACCCATGTCTGCTGTTGAGGGCCCCAGTATGGGGTATAATGGTTTCTTGAATCGAAACTGTCTGAGTCGTCGCGCCTTTGTCTACCACTCTTTCCCCTTTTCCCAAGGTTAGACCGGTTTGCAGAGACAGAGCTAGCTCGCGACACTCCATTGTCACCATCTCCATCTGCCTCGTCCGTTAGTAGGGGAGACAATACAATGGCCCAATACGAGAACATACCTGTTGGGTTCTCCTCCGAGTTGCCAAAAATTCTCTCTCTTGCCAATTTATACATCTCTTCCCGTTCTTCCCGGGTGAGCCTAGTCTAGTTAGCGGTGCTCGGCACAAATTTTTGGGGTAATTGGTGTAAGTACTTCTGGTTGCCTTGCTTATCCTTCCCGTCTTTGCCATCACTTCCGTCTTCAGAAGTGGGCTTAGAAGGGCTGGCGCTGAGGAGACCTCCATCCTCGTCTTGCCCACGCCTCATGATCTTCTTGGGTGCAATCACAGGTGGGGGCGTGCTGCTACTGGACTGGTTTGGTGCTGTGTCCCAATGTACTAGGGAAGTTGGAACCCGGCAAAAAGGAGTCCTGAAGATTCGCACAGACCCAATGTTTGGCTCGAAAGAATGGGTCATGTGATAGTAATCCGCCAGTTTATGAGTTAACATTCGACAAAATGAATTTGATGGCGGGAGATCCATGTACGGTTCCCTAGAATATGGATGGTTAGCTAAAGTATTGGGCAGGAGTAGTGCTGAGGGTAGACGAACTTGGAATTCTGTACAAAATCGATTACCTCTTTCTCCAACTTCAGAAGAAAGAGTCTATCCTTAGAGGAAGTTAGTGCCTCTATAAGTTTCTCGTCTGGGGCGTGCCGATATATCAGGTTCAAGGCATCGGGGTTTCCTTCGCTACTAGGTAACGAAGACATTCCTGGTCGAGTATTCGAATGCTGTTCAGACGATGTACTCTGTGGGGTCAAAACCCCCTGGCTAGAACTGCCTGGTGTGATGTGCAATAGCCGACGTTCTGAAATATCGCCCATTTGTACGCCTCTAGCTCGCAGGGCAAGATCGGAATCCATCCGGGATCCTGCTCCGAGAGATCCACGAATAGAAAACGCATCATCGTCCTCACCAGCAGCCTTGACACTAGCACTATCATCGGGACGAAGAGACTCTTTCTCATCCAAGGCAAACGTCGTTCCAGACGTGATGCTCTTCCCGTCTAAGCTTGGGGGCTTCGTTCCAAGCTCAGAGTTTGAGTCTGCCTTCTGAGATTCATCAGAGCCATTGTCTCTGCCGATGGCTGCTTGCTGCCTATCACCCACTACAGCAAGAGCTCCATTCACAGGAGACACACCAACATCTTTTGGTTGCAAGGTGAGATTCCCGAGCGAGTTGGTGACATTATCAACCACCAAATTTCGAGGATGTGTCAATAAAGACACTCGGCTAGGCATATTTAACGTCCGTTCGGCATTAGCAATGCCTGGGCCTGCTACAGGCGGGATCGCGCTCATCTTGGCAGATGTTTCCTTCAATGTATTCGCAGTCGAAGAAGATATGATACCAGAGGAGTGTTCAGCTGTGACTATCGCGGGTACCTATATCAATACAGAAGTCAACAGTCAGCTCAGCTTAAAGAGACCCAGGAGAACACCATCGTGCTACACACCTTGGTAAGAGATGGCACTTGCAACCCTTCTTGCATCCCCTAAGTCACTGGCTCGAGACACCACAAAAAGAGATTATATATCCAAGGTTGTTGAGAACAGTTTGATGTTCGGTAAGAGGATCAACACCGGGACAAACGCCTCTGGTCGCAGCAGGCCAGGTCAGGAGGATGGAAACGAAAAGGACGGAAAATAGATGCAACAAGATGAGACAGCCAATTCAAGCAGACGAATCGAACAATACGGGCCAGTATAAAGAATGAGAAGTACCGGTTTTCATCGTCGTGACAGGGGGTGCTGCATCTTTTCTGTTTTTTCCCATTCGGTGAGACCTTCGTTCTCGGATGTGGTGATGGTTGGTAACTGAGGGGGCT